CAACAAAGCCAACATACTTACGCGCACACCCTTCCATATAGTACATACATTCCAATACATATTAACATATAACTATGTAATATGTTAAAATAGGTAACTCAATCAAGTGCCGTACCGCTCCATTTAAAAAGTATTCTTGTTTTTGTTTTCTTACAATTAGCGATAACGCTTACTCAAATTAACTGCATGTACGAGTTTTTGTTTTTAACAATGAGATCATTCGCCCTAATAAAGCTTTCGGTTGGATGTGTGTGACTGACGTGATCGGGAATTGTTTGAGTGGTTTGTTTTAAGTATCGGTAATGAGAACCTGTTATTGGTAATTTTTATACCCTGAATATTGTATAATAAGTTTACCATGATATTATAYGTACATGATCAGCATGATGAGCTGAGTCTGGTAAGCCAAGTTGGTCAGTTTGTCATATCGATCTGAAATTTTGCAAATCCTTTTCACCAAAAAAAGCTGCTCATTCATCAGAATTACCGACATCGGTTCATTAAATTACCGATTAAACTCATGAGAAAGATYTTTTTTTAATAAATGGAATTGTGAAGGGTATTACAGCTTCGATGCCTTTAATATTAATTTAAATATTAAAACAGTAACATATTTTTAACAAAAATTTTATTTTCTTAGAATGTTGTGAAACCGCTTTTTATTTGGCCGAGCTTCTCCTCTCTTTTATTTTAATGTCTTAACATTATTTGAAATATCGATGCTCTTATTCGAAAAATCGAGATCATGTTCTAAGCGGTCTCTGAGTGGCTGATAGATTTATAGGAAGCAGTGCCGGGTTTTGTTGATGGAAAGATGAGATCGAAACACAGATTTGGCCAATTTGTATCCCATTTAAAGTTTCTTGAAATTTAACCCATAAAAACCAAAAAGCCTCTTTGGAATTTTCAGCAACATTTAAAAAATTATGCAGTTTGTTGGATATAATTAGTATTATTGTTGATGTAAAAAACGTCAAAAGCGATTTATCGAAGTGCTGAACAAATTAATTTATAGTAAAACCGAATAATCGATTTTGTCTCAATCGAATTGATTTTAGTTGAGTAGATGGTCTATTTGAATTTTTCATTGGCTTCTATTGATATATATTATACATACATATACATATAGTTGCATACACATGACTGTTCAAGTCCACCACTATATATGTTACGCTACTTGCAATGTCAGCATGTTTTACAAGCTTGATTATGTTGCGGTCGTTTACCATATACGGACTCGCTTTTTCTGAAAATAATACACAAATATAATTCTAAGTGTGTGCTTTTTCCAATACGGACTACCGAAAAAAGTGTAGTCGACACAAATATAATTCTATGTGTGTGCTTCTTCCAATACGGACTACCGAAAAAAGTGTAGTCGACACAAGTGATTTGAAAAAAAAAAAAAATAAAAATAAAAATGAAGAAACGCTAGAGTTCGCAAAGTATGAAAAAGCATAATTGGCTAAGCCGACACCATATTTAGCCAGCATACTAATATACATATGTACATGGATATTCATATATGTAAACTTACAACCTATTTGGAGCAGTTGTGATTCATTTTAGTCAGAAGAAAAGATTTCGATCGATCGAATGTAAATATATAATATACGCAACCGAGAGTACAAATTGTAGGGTATAGTTAAAAGGTAATAAAAATACTTAGATACTATATGCAGATGTGTATGCACTACCTTTCGGTGCGCCCCAATAAGTGTTATGCACAATGTTAGCGAAAATACAACGACAATCGCCAATCTTATCACATTGATAAGCGCAATTTCCAATGATAATGATACAAGAAAAAGCACGGAACAGATTCTCGGTACTTGCCATTTTTGTACACCAATTAATTGCGAAAATTCCTTTAAACTATTGTACTTGAGTGCACATACTAGTAATTTTCTTGCTTCACAAGTGATCGGCACATCGAATTCATAGGATCGTTTCTAACATTTAATTAGCGAAAAATGTATCAAAATAAGGTTAGATCGTGATTTCACTTGAGATCCAATTAATAGATAAATTTATTWATTTGCAATTTGTACAATTACCGTTAAACATGTACATGCACATATTTAACTGATATCAACACTAACTGTTTGAAACACTTTTCAGATTAACTCAAAATACAGCGAAGAGTTGGCTCAAGAATGTCTAGAATGGATCAAGATTGTTACCGGCGAACCGATCAACACAGCCGGTGATATGGATAACTTCTTCGAAGTGCTGAAGGATGGTGTTTTATTGTGCAAATTGGCCAACTCATTGCAACCGGGCTCGATCAAGAAAGTCAAYGAAAGCAAAATGGCCTTCAAGTGCATGGAGAATATTTCCGGTGAGTGATAAAAATTCATTTTATTAGTGTTGCCATTGTACATATGTATGTGTATCTCGTTATCCAGTGAAAACAATTTGCTAACCAGTTATGCGACCGCTAATTTCGTATAAATTTAATGTTCATACAAATTAATAAGAATATATTATAAAATTAAATGGATATCGAGTATTAGAGAAAGAATTAGGAATATTAAAGTTCTCCTAAAAAAGCAAAATTTAACTTAAATTCATGCTTCAAGAAAAAATAATTTTTGTCACAATAGTATTGATAAACAACCTGATGCCAACGCTATTTATATGTATATATATACTTATATCGTTGCCTGAAATGCATCTATTACTGTTACGTGTCTTCTATCTTATTCCATTGTATTCTCGTCTTACAGCTTTCCTGGCCTGTGCAAAAAACTTTGGCGTACCCACACAGGAGACCTTCCAGAGTGTCGATCTTTGGGAACGACAAAACTTGAACTCTGTAGTCATATGCCTGCAATCCTTGGGCCGTAAGGTAATAAAACWTTCTAATCATAACTAATCAAACAATCTAATCATAAACTTTTATCAAAATTATAAATTTTCATTTTGCACAGGCACACAACTACGGCAAGCCATCAATTGGTCCCAAAGAAGCCGATAAGAATGTGCGCAACTTCTCCGAAGAACAATTGCGTGCCGGTCAAAATGTCATCTCACTGCAGTACGGCTCAAACAAGGGTGCCAATCAGTCGGGCATCAACTTCGGCAACACTCGGCACATGTAAATGCTATTTCTGCTGCGCAGCAAATAGTATAGCGGGTATGCGCGTGCGGCCGGTTAAACTAATTCCATTGGTACTTACATGGATGAATGTGGGTGCACGCAGCGTTATACATATATTTAGCGGCATTTTAATATTTAARCATTCCATAAGTGTCCAAAATTATATTAGAATAGACGCAAAACCCCAAAAACAACAAATGTATTCAAAATTTTGCATTCCATGTATTTTTTAACTTTATAAACTTATATTGAACGTATTCTAAGCCTATCGTAAACAACAAAGAATTGTAAACTTTTTTATAAACAAAAACATTTGATTTTGTAACTTTAAACACTATACTTATATTTAATAATACACTCTTTTCTGATTTGTACTAAATCGGCACTTACAAATACAGCATAAAACGGGAAAATATTACATTGTACCAGAGGCGCGTTTGTGTGTATGTATGTATTTACGTAACATATAATTGTCTCGTTCGTGCCATTAAGCATTTATATTGAACATATTTATCCTCCTACATACATATATGTATAACAAAAGAAACTCTCTCTGCAAATCTTTTACACTAATGCATAAAAAAGATAAATATATTTTTCGAAAAAAAAAGTATTTACAATAAGAACTTTTTGGAAAACTTGTATACCTTTAAAGTGTAAATCGCAAGATAACAACCACTGTGTAAAAAATACTGTAACGAAAGTGTCTTCTCCCATTWAATTACCGTTAAACATAAATTAGAAAGTATTTATGAATCATATACAATAACACACAGACACAGTGATACGTATTAGTATACTGATTTGAACTGTTAATTCATGTTGAAATAAAATTTATTACAAATAGTTACTATAAAATGTTTTTAATTTAAGCAAAATATGCTGATCCCGTAAGTATTAAATGTATAGATGTGGAATATTGAATTAATGTTTAGCGATCGAATATTTGTTTCCTTACTTTTACACTCTTAAAAAGCTGTGCTTAGAACGAAAATATAGGAAGAATAGCTCAAAAAATACTTCATTGGAACAAGTTTTTTCTATTTATCTTTAATCGTAATGTCAACTTTATATGACGATATTTGTGTATTCAATGAAATGGAAGAATTATACCATACATTTTGGTCCTTAATGGGCCATATTTAGTTTGTCAAGAAGTTTGCAATGCACAGAGAGAAACGTGTCAGACCACGAGGAGATGAGTTGATTTAGCCATGTTGGTTTGTGTGCATATACTCCTTCTCCTTCTTTATTGGCGTAGACAACGCTTACATGGTTATAGCCGAGTTTTTAACAGCGAAGGCTGTGGTTTCCTTCTCATTGGCGGCATTTTTTTTTTTCGTGGCGGGTCCCAAACCCAGCGCGCAACCCTGCGGAGGGTTGATTCGAGCTCTTAATTCAACTCTCCTTCAAACTGATGCTCTTTTACTACTCAGAAAATACTTGGTCTAAGACCGGAAGTCGCTACCAAGGGAATGGCGCTCAGGGAACTTTCCTTACTTGCATGAACTTCTACACATGATTCCATCCTCCCTCCTAATCACTCAACTTATGTAATATCGATCTGAAATTTCACGCACGCCCTTTTGTCTCTAAGATCATTTGTCGGAGTTGACGATATTGGGCCACCATAGCATTTACAACTATACAATCTCCAAACAAATTGTTTAAACTGGATCACTAAACTATATATGTTTATACAAACTCGTTGTCTTTTACACAAGGTTTAACGATTAATTTTGCTTATAAAAGATAATTTACAAATTTACAACGGTGAATAATACAATCATACATTTTGTTACATTTTCCGTTTCCTTTTGGCAGTTTGCTTTWCTTCCCAATTTACCCACAAATTAATTAGAGAAAAATAAAGGCATGGCATCACTGAAATAATTTTGTCTTTGAGGTTACTTTTCCACTTTGTACACTTTCATAACACAGTGCTCTTCAAAATCGACAATTTTTAGATTAAATTAAATATGCCTTCCTATGAATTGGCAGTGGTTTTGAGACAAATGTCCAGAGTAAGTACTTCTGCATTAAAGTTTTTATACATGACAGCTTATTCACTTCTTATTTTCTTTGACGTTTAGCCGGAGATTGTTTCTGTATTGAAGCGCACGGCCGGAACACTTTTAGACAAAGGCTGCGTAATCAGGAAATTGGAGAATTTAGGTACAAGAGCGTTACCGCACAAAATCAGTGAACACGGTATAGTGCATCGCGATGGCACCTATTTCAACATATCGTTTGATGCAGCACCAACGAAAATAAGTGATTTTATGGAGGAGTTTGGACGTGACATTGACATTGTACGACGACGTATATTTAAGATAGAAGAACCTGAAGAATTCCAATGCACACTACATGAAGAAATGTTGCCACCGGCCTATCGTAAGGATGTCCAGGAAATGATAGATATAGCGAAACGCAAACAAAAACGCAAGTTCAAATACAATTCCGGCTTAGATTATTATCCTTTCCAAAAGTAAGGTGTCCAAATTTGAAACAATTATTTTTTATTATAATTATTAAAGTTGTTGATATACAAGTAAAATAAAAATTATTACGTTCTAAAAACCAAAATAACTGAAATATTTCAGTAAACTTAGAGCATTTCTTTCATACACACTTTATTTTGTTTTGAAGCATAATTTAGTTAGTAAACTAGTTCTAAAATCTACGTGTCTGACCAGMTTGCGCTGATGTTGAYGGTGCTGGTGCTGTTGCCTTTGCCGGATCTTCTAACAAACGAACGAGCATCGAGTTTTTCGGCCCCGTACACCATGTGATGCCATTCTCATCGATCACATATGTCTCCAAGGTAACCTGCCATTGTCCCCCACTTGAAATTGGCAAGAGAAAGCTGCCAGTCAAGAAGTCACGTTGTGGTTTAACTGTTTGTGTTAGTGTAACTGTATCAGAAGTTGTAGATTTAGGTGTTTCACTTGCAGGACGAGGTGTAACCAGTTGTGATGTTAGTGTCAATTGTACGGCATCTACACTACGATACATGGAACGTCTCTTACCATAATGCTGAATGACGCCTTCTACTTTAATTACTAAATTACTGCCTGATTGTACAAGCACTGGTTCACCTGGACTACGKGGCTGCGGGCTAACAGATAATTTAATCTGTGTAGATTGCAAGACTTGAAAGAAGTAACGTGGTAAGCATAGTGGAGTTTTAGTTATCAACTCAATTTCACTTAGTATAATTTCTAAATGTCGATTACTTATAGTCTTCGCATTCGATGGTTCCTGTGGCAAATTGCGTTGCATTTGCTCCATGCGGTGGCAGCAGGCTGCAAAGTAGCGAGTTTCTGGACACTGGCCATTGGTCAAAAATGCGGGAGGATCTGAGGGCGTAGCAAAACAAATCGTCTCAACAATATGTGCAAATAAAGCACATTGATATTCGGCTATTTCCAAAAACTCTAATGTTACTGGATCGGCATCGAAAGCAGATTTATAAAGGCGTGAGTATGATTCTTCACAACTTTTCAATGCCTTCACTAGTTTGCGCAACTGATTGGTAACATGCCCAAACTTTTGTAAGTAATCACGAGAGCTTTGCGCTAAACTTCCTGCAATTGCCGGTGGTGGTACAATAATCTGTGCATTTTTCACTGTAACTGCCATGTAAAGTGTCTGCAAAAATTGTGCACGCAGCTTTAGATACTCCAGCTGAAATGTAAGTGGATTGGCTGGCGATGAACTAGCACGCAAACTTGCGAGCGCTTGCCAGTACAAATTGATTGCAGATTCCAAACGCTGCATGAGCGGCATCTGTTTTAGCACATATGTAGATTTTTTAGACGACTTATCTTCAGACTTTACGCTGGGGGGTAAAGGAGCACACTGTTCATAATTGTCGCGCATATATTCATATTCCACACCGTAATTTAATATACATTCGGCTTTTCCCATTTGTGCTAAGCCCATCAGAAAGAAATGTAGCTTGTCCACAACAGTGATCTGGGATATTTTAGAAAACATATGTGCAGCAAGATAGTGCTGACCGTAACGGCTTGCCGATCTTGCTATACGATATTGATTCCAACAATTTACTTTGCTACAACAACGTTCAAAGCATTCCATTACTTGCTTGGGTATAAAACAACCAATCATAGACTGGAGAGCGACGGAAGCTAAAATTTCAACTGAATGCAATTGATCTTCTTTTGCGCCAGCATCCATAATWGCATTCAGTTTATGTAAAATAAAAAGCAGACGATTTAACACTGGATTATCCTGTAAWGTAAAAACATTTCTAGTATAAGGTTAATAAAAAATATGCACATACGCACTTACGGTTGGCTCTCCACCTGCTACTACAGGTTTGCCTGCTTCTTCACTCGCAGCGCTCGCCGYTTCAATCTTTCCTTGCGCTGACAATGCAACCTGTGCTGATGTTGATGGCTGCACGTCATCAATGTCCATGGGTTCTTCTGTACTCAAGTTTTTCGGTGCGAATTTTCGCAATTGAAAATGCGAACCAAGAGCRCCTAACGCATCGCACATCATTTCAGCATTCCGTGGTGGATATTCTATCTCTTCGGTAATTAARTCAGCCAACATGTTAACAAAATCTGTGCCGAATTCGTTGTTTACACTGGCAATTTTAATACCACAACAAAGTATTTTCTTCAATTCGCGTTCATTTTCTTTTTCGCCTACCATACAGAAAATTAAACCTTCCATGTGTATATTTACTATTTCCATAATATTAGATGTAATTTGTTTGTCGCCGCCCGAATAAGTCAGAAGAGCGGCTAAGATTGACATTGCTTGAATGGCGGTGGCATAGTCATCTAAGCAAATGCACGTAAGACACAACTCCGTCACTGATTCTTGCTCTTCGTTTAACAATGCATGACAAGTTAGTGGACAATCACATAGCTTAAGTAGTATATTTAAATAAAGATATTGTTCTCGAGAATCCTCACAACCTTGTGCCTTTACTAAAAGTTCTCTCATTGCCTTCTTTGGCCAAGCATGTACACACTGTGGATCGGCCAGTTGGGTGAGTGATTTCAATACTTGCGCTCGGACAGGTTTTCGTTTATCTTGCAAAAAGTCAAGCAACAATTTTACTTGATCTGGTACACCGGTTAATGTACGGATAGAAAGTTGGGTCAGTGAATCAAGTATAGCCACCACGAAGCTTTCAGCAGGGTACTTTGGTAACAAATTGAGACAAAGATCTTTCACCAGTGATGATGTGTTGGAGTCGTGATGCATGTGCCTTAAGACTGGTATGAGCTGTAACTTCATCGGAACTGGTATTTGTAATGATTCAATCATGTCAGAAATTTTAGCGCACATACAAATAGCGAACGAACGTGATTGTGCGGCAAATTGACCACTCGCATATATTGCAGCTTCCACTTCTACAGTATCATGACTGTCTAATGCCCGACGTATAGCATGATGTACTTGCTGTTTTTCCGGTATCACACGTGACACAGCGCCCAATGTGCGTAAAGTTAATGCACGCGCAACAGGATCGTTCGAGTGTATAACCATAAATATACGTTTAACAAACGCTTCAATATTCAAAATTTTATCTAAATGATTTTCACTTTGTTGGCATACTCGTAACACCCAAAAGCGCAAGAGATTCGAACCGTTCCAAAAGAACTCTGCCAGTTTCAGAAATGAAGAGTTTATTAATATTGGAAACGGATACTTTTCGAATAGTCTTGGAAAACGCACTATGGCTTCGCACTGCACACCTAACTTTGCGGAACGTAATCCTTTATCCAGTTCGGTCAACACGGAATTGGCATCCTGTTCGGACTCATTGAGAAAATTCTCGTTGAAGAGATTCACTCGAACGCCCGATAAAGAGGACATTTTCTATTTCTATTAAATTAATAACAGTCAGTACACAAATTGAAAAGAATTGTTAAATTTGCTTGGCTTGCAACAACTTCTAAGTTAATAAACAAAATCACTTGCTCTACTGACAGCCGGAAAAACAAACAGTGTTTCTTCTTTTTATATTACTTTGCGCACTAAAGGCCTATGCACACACAACTTTCACGTGACAACGAAGCTCAGAAAACAATAATATGACACAATGAGCATTTTGCTTTCAATGACTTCGCGTCGAAAACTTTTTATATGAACCTATTGATAGAGAATACTACTTCGAACTTTTCTGTCACAGCAAATGACAATCACAACGTGAAACAAAAGTTCTATGTGAATTTTACAGGTACAGTTAATTAACTATATAACCAATAAAATAATATAAATTTGACTAAAATGCCACTACAAATGGTTAAATAACTTTTTAAAAATTTACATATTTAAAAAAATTGTCTGCCTCGAAAATAGTTTTCCCCCCTCTACTGAAAGGTTTGGCATTACTGTTTTTGTATAAATTTATATGTTTGTGTTTTGTATTTGAAATACATTCATAAATGGTTGTTTGATATTTTTTTGCAAAAGTGTAAACATTTCACAACAAAATGTGGCTTTTAACAAACGTCGCAACCGGTAAGTCTATATACACTCCTTGGAAAAGTAAATATATTAAATTAAGGTTTCTAAATAGGCAATGCACTTATTGTCATCAATGAAAAGTCTAAATATGCTGTTGGCCGAGTTGGTGCAGATTTAGTGATATGCGACGACTCTTCCATTAGTCGTACACATGCTTTTCTACATATAACGCAAACTATGACTGTAGATAACGAATATCATAAATCCATGGAGTTGTTAGAACTTGAAGATGCTGGCTCTAAGTATGGAACCTTCCATAATAATGGTATTGAGAAAAATGTTGCTGTAACTAAACAAGAACGTATCCCCCTATCAGAGGGTGATCGCATACGTTTTGGTGTTTTAAAGAGCATATGGTCAGTTTCAAAAATTACACMCATTATTGCAATATCCGCATTACCTGTTGAAATTAACAAACAACTACAACAATATATTCAAGTTCTTGGAGGCAGCATTTTAACAGGCTGGAAGGATACATATACGCACTTAACTTTAGCAGAGATTAAACTCATCCCCAAGCTCTTGCATGCCATAATAGATAAAAAGCCCATTGTAACTTGTGATTACTGGTGTAGTGTGGTGCAGGCTGCACGCCGTGGACGGCGATCGTTGCCTAATGCTGGATCGTATATGCCACCAAATCCTATGAATTTAGATTTGAGCTATCGTGAGGAAAGAAAAAGTATTTTTAAGAATTTAACATTTGTATTTTTAAATGCTCGTCACTTTAATATATATGCCCCGATTGTGGAGAAGACCGGTGGTAAGAGCAAACATTTAAATGTAGGAATACAAAAATCATTTCTGGTCAGAAAAGATGTCGTTGTTATTCAATACGTGCCATCCACAGAGTCGCAAAGTTCGCAGACCGTTAGCATTATCGAAGGTAAGAAAAAATAATTYTTATGCGTATATATAAATGGAAATTGAATAATGCTACCTTCTTTTTTAAGATTATCTTAAGCAACATTCTCGACGTACTATACCTGAATATGAAATCGGTTTCGCAATTATACATTGCTCAACACAAATATATTGCAATCCAAGTTACAAAGAAGCGGAAAACTTAGATTTTGAATCAGAATCAATTGGATCTGGTGTGTTGCAGAGTTCTGGTAAACAAACCGATTRCTCGAACACTTTAGTAGGTGATGAAACAGAAGTGTTTATACCGGAAACTGATCACAAAAGCACAGCTAGTACACATTTGACAGATAAATCCGCTATTGAACTCCCAGCGACCGGAGCAGATCAAACCGATTCAGTAACCTTAGAATCACAAACATTTGAACAAAAAGATTCATTGCCAAGTGATGTAGTGATGTCTTCGCTTCAAGTTACCGAAAGTGTACAAGAAGTTAATAAACGAAAGCGTACGCGAGGAATTAAACAAATTGTCAATAAAGATAATTCTGAAATGAATAGTGATGAAGATGATCTATTCAGCTTTGCCGCTAAGAAGGTACATTTGGAAGATAAAAAGACCTCACCAGTTGGGCGTGTGACGAGACAACAGAGAAAATCGATAAGTTCTCCACTTTATGAGGGTGCATCAACTTCTGTTGCAGCCGCTTCTAAGGAAACYCCTAAATCCTGCGATAAGCAATTGCCTATTGCAATAAATAAGAGGTCAACTAGACGTACGATTATTAATATGTCTGGCTTCCTAGAAAAGTCACAAGTCCCCAATTTAACTCTGCAGAAAACAGTTGCAGAGGTTCATGATATACCAACTGACAATGATAAGTCGAAGCAGGGAACGAAACGCCCACGTATTGCTGTCTTAGATAACAGCGATGATGATGACTTATTTTGCTTTGGTGGAAAAAGTAATACAAAAGAAGAATCAAATCTTGCTAAACGAGCGCGTGCTGATGATAACGGTGACGATTCAGCAGAGGATCTATTTAATTTTGGCGGTGCTACATCCGAAGATCTTAATAATCGAGAAGATGTTATAGACGTCGACTTAAATAAGCAATTACAAGTTCAGAAAAATAATTCAAAGCCAATAGTTATGCCAAAACCTAAACCATTGCCAGCGAAAATTTGCGTGGCTAATTGGCTTGGAAGTTCATTAAGTGCTTTAAGTATCAAACCCGATCAAATGAAAGATGAAGTGGACGCGGGTTTAAGAGAGAACAATGATTCAGGTGTAGAAGGWGATAGTAAAGAGAATGTTGAGCTTTGTAAAGGAGGATGCGTGGTGACTACGCTGGACGTAAGAACACAAAATCGAGAGAGCGAATGGAGCAGAAATACGACTATTTCCCGAAATGAGGATTCTAATGTAAATTCCACAACCAAAAACTTTAAAAAGTTTATTAAAGTACGTACGACTTTTTTTATACAACATTTTATTATGCACATGTTTATAACAGAAATTATTTGCAGAAATTTCGTCCACAAAATCATAAAGTGATTGCGACTATTTCGTCCACTGTATGCGGTAAATTTGTTTGAAATATGTATACATATGTTATGAAATTTTGTTTACAATAAATTTTCTAAATATGCTTAAAGCTTTTTTGTGATCATTTGCCAATAATTTCTTTTGGAATAGACGCGTCGCTCCAATCCACTCATGAGGCAATATATCTTTAGTTATGCTCTGTTTTAGAGACAGTTTCCGTGATACATTTTCTCTTACGAYAAAGCGTTTCGTCGTTTCAACATTTGCTAATTCTACATCGGCATTGAAAGTTTTCGTTTGTGTTGAGGGATTAGTAGGTCTGGACACCTCTGTGCCTACATCAAGGGATTTTCGCCCTTTCATCGGCTTCAAAGGTCGAACTAGTATCTGCAGATTTGTTGTTGGACTGTTTACGAAGGTACTCTCTGCATTAGGTACATCCATTGTTTTGTTTTCTGAGAAATTTTCCAATTTCTCCGGCATATTTATATCATACTGCACACTTTTTTCTGATAGTGGAAATTTCTCGCGCATCGGTCGCAATTGATTGTAAAGTTCAACACACTTATTACCCAATAATGCGCTCAGGCTATATAGTTTTCCTAGCACTGCCAATAGAAGTATGATTGTATCCATAAAGAAGTTATTACGAATCAATTTGGCGAAGTATTCAGCAGCTTGTAGGCAACACTCGCGAATGCGCCCATACACCCCATGAGTATTGAGTAAACGTATTAGGACATAATCGAAGTTATTTTGTGTTGGCATCTCTACCGTTTCGGCGGAGTTGAGCACGAAATCAGGCAAAGATCCGTGAAAAAGCTCAAGTTCTCGCGTGATATCAATGCGAAGCAGTCGACATGTAGCAGCATTACATTTTGCAACCGCTCGAAACCCCATCATGCCATGAAATGAATTCTTTCGACGTGCCATTAATCTTCCCAACAGAGCAGATGTCTCGGCGAATTCAACTTCTTGTGGACGATGTCGTCGAAAATATTGTTGAATTGCCGTCTGCAAACGACGAACTGCAAAAAATTCCTTATTGTTATATATTATAAAATGAGACTGTCGCATGGTTTACCACTTGGTGTATTCTTATTTGGAACAGTCACTGTGAGTTGAGGAGGCTTTTTTAATTCAAATTCGTTCCAGAGATCGGACATTTTAAATTTAGGAAATATGTCAACAAGTTAATTTGTATGAAAGTTTTGAAACTAGAAATCTATAAACTTAACAGCTGTGTTGGAGAACTACAAGAATTATTCAGAGTTGCCCATTCATTATTAAAAATTAGTCACAAATCATTAACGTGCTGGCATATATTATAATATCTCCGAAAAATATCGTAAAATAATTATATAATATAAAAAACAAATGCGAATCTAACATTTACGTTTAAAAATCCAATATACATATATATAATAGAGCATGGCAATTTTTGTGTGATAGTATATTTTTAGGATGAAAACATGATGTAAGCCGTATTTCTGGTAACCTTTTCAACATATGCTGTACTGTCAAATAATTGTCACTGGTAAATTTCGATGTTCAAATGTGCAAATGTGTGTTTCTGTTTAATTTGCTGCTGTAATCAGGTATCGTGCACTTGATTCCAAAATAAGTTGATTGCACTCGCACATCAACGGGTGTGTTTTGTTCAATAATATTTATATATAGGGGTTACATTGATAAAAAACAACGTAACAAAACAGGCAACACCCGAGCTTGATTGCAATATCGAACGAGCAGACCCTGCAAGTCTTTCATACACCATCGAAGTGATATTATGGCATTCGCCCAAAATTTAGTCAGGTGCACCATCAATGCTGCCGTACTCAAAAGTGCCAGAAGCTTTTCAAAAAATTCAAGTAACTTTAGCTTACTGCAAAGACGTATTAATCTTAAATCGATAACGAATCAACATTGTTTGCGAACATTTTCTGTTGGCACACAACTTCACCAAGAGTAAGTTACTTTTATGATTACATTAGATGTTTATTATAATAAATATGGAATTTTGTTTAGTGTGAACGTTACATTTTTACGCGCAAATGGCCAGAAAATACAAACAAAGGGAAAAGTTGGTGATACCTTATTGGATGTGGTGGTTAATAATCACATCGATTTGGACGGTTTTGGCGCATGTGAAGGCACACTAACCTGTTCGACATGTCATTTAATCTTCAAAACAGCAGATTTCGAGAAACTGCCAGATAAAGCTAGTGATGAAGAATTAGATATGTTGGACTTAGCTTATGAACTTACTGAAACTTCCCGGCTAGGTTGTCAAATAACTCTTACAAAGGATATGGATGGGCTGGTTGTAAGTGTGCCTGCAACAATAAATGACGCGCGCAGTGCGTAACCAAGGTTAAGCACTTGTTAAACTAATTGCACACTTGACGAAACAAATTAACTGCACAAACATAGAAACACTTTTTATGTATATATAAAACCAATTGTAATATAGCATTGTGATAACATCAACAAAATGTGTTCGCCGCGTCTACGTCAAATAAATTGACGGATGGCCCGGATGTTGCTTGCATAAATGAATATAATATTTGTATATAAACCAATGCATATTGTTAAAGTCTCCGAATATACGTATGTGTGTATGTACTTGCATATAAATAGCAGTTTAAATCTTTCCAATCCCAAAGAAAACTAAACCAGTAAGAACAAAACAAAGTAAGTGCAAACAAAAAATGTATACTAATTTTAACTGATTATTTKTATAAAATAAATATCTGCTTTAAGCGAAAATTAAAAAAAAATTGTTTGTTTTTTTCTGTTTGAACATTTATTACAGCGCAGTGTGAGTGATTTGCAAAATTCCTATACATATTTACATGCCTCAATAGTATTATTAAAGTGGCATAAAGGAAATTATGGTTAATTTGTACACAAGTTGTAGTGCGTTATCAGGCGAAGATAAAGAAATTTTTAAGATAACATAATTGCAATATTGAAGCAAAATATCATACTGGAAATTGTCTATACGCTCGGCGGTTCTTATCAAAATTAAGTCTGAATAATTAAGTTAAATTTGCTAAAAAGGGGATCAATTATGTTGCAATTTATAAAAACAAGATAAGCGATATTTTTCCAACAAGGCATGCATTAGGAAATCGCAACATCATTGTAAACAATAACCTTGAAATGGAAGCTTATCTAAATTAATGTAGTTGTTGTTCAAGCAAATTCTTAATCATATACATACTGATTAAGAGTTCTTCACTGCTACATTAGGGTGTGATTTATTATTAATAAATAATTCTGGGCTCTGGAGTTCTTCAAATTTGAATACATATTAACATTTGAATATATTTACGTAAATTGTGAATGTGCATACATATATGTACACACAAATGTAAGTGATATTATACATTTACATACATATATAGTATATGTTTGTGTGCATATGTTTGTTGAGATTTTAATTGAAAATGAACATGCACATATTACTTCCTTGTAAAAACAAATTAAGTTAATTGCCTACTATTTTTTACATATTAATTGTACATTAATTATAATAATAATAAACAACAGTTTCTGATAGTAAACAAGTAAAAAGTGCTAAGGTCGGCTGAAATAAAACATTTGTCCACTTTATCAGTTTTTTTAATGAATTATATGTATATTCTTCTGCTTCTTTACTAGCGTAGACACCGCTTACGTGGTTATAGCCCAGATCCCATTTGATCTCTCCAACGGAATGAAGGTCTTTCTCTTCCACTGCTGCCCCAGCCGGGTAGTGCGTCGAATACTTTCAGAGCTAGAGTGTTTTCATCCATACTTACGACATAAACTAGCCGGCCTAACTGCTGTTCTGCTTCTGCTTAATCAGCTGAACTATGTCAATGCCGTCGTATATCTCATACTGCTCATACTGCTCATCATGCCATCGACTTCGGTATTCGCCGTTGCCAATACGCAAAGGACCATAAATCTTTCGCAGAACCTTCTCTCAAAAATTCGTAACGCCGACTCATCAGATGTAGTCATCGTCCATACCTCTGCACCATTTAGCAGGGCGGGGATGATGACTGACTTGTAGAATTCGGTCTGTATTAGTCGTGAGAGGACTTTACTTCTCAATTGCCTACGCAGTTCGAAGTAGCACCTGTTGCCTAAAGTTATTCTGYGTTGAATTTCGACGCTGATCTAAACAGCTCTAATTATAACTACGATCCATTCGAAGCACCTCACATAGCTAACTGGTGGATAGCCTTCTCTCGCTTGTACTCACYTAGTGTTTATTGTTTTTAAGGCCTTTTAGTTCCTAAATAAAAAAGTCATTATCTTCTAGAATGGCACAGCCTTTTTATGTTCGTGAAGTTCAATATATGTCATTTATTGTGTATTGGCCCACTGTTTTTTTTATCGCACGAAAAGGAGGAAGAAASAAGGATTTGCCTTGAAATTTTGTGTTTCCAAGAGAATTTCGGCTACGGAGTAGTTGGAAATGTTACAGAAGTGCTTTTATAAGTGTACTTTATCATGAAAAATATATTCAGGGAAAGTCGTGAAGTCATTGAAAACTTGTCTCATTCGAGTCGTCCATTCACACCTGCTAATGAAAATATAAATGAAAAATATAAACAACAGTATTTGAAAATAGTCGTGATGGCATCAACGATATAACAGATGATCTCAAAATCTCTTATTAATTGTTTTACTGTTTTGGGTATGAAGCTTGGACTCGCATATCGTCTGTTAATGACGATAATATCAAAAAACTTAAAGAAACTCGACACATTTGAGTTAATGTTTTGGGTATGAAGCGTGTCAATGGTGAAGTCGTACCAAAAGACTAGAATCTTTTACAAAAGCGACATCGAATAGAGGTTGCAAAAGATATGGTGAAGAGACGTGGATGAAGTTAGATTAGATTAGATAAGAAAGTGAAGATTGCACTGAGACTTAAGTTCTATTGTGCCCTCTCCTAAGTAAAAATGTCTCAAATAGCCCTAGCACATTGATAAGTTCCAATATACTGCTAGGTATTATTGAGATGATGTGATCCCTATTTGAGAACATGGCCTTAACTCTACGCCTACAGATTGCTGGTCAGTCTTTTAGCAGGTGTTCTGGTTAGACTCTAACTCGCCGAACCGGCAATTTGCACAAAAAACTAGGCCACTATTATATAAGTGCTTCTTGAGCTTACATTGCGTCCAGTGAATGGCGCTCCTAAAATGAGCTGAAACGGACAGAAAATCAACAAAATTTGCTGATTGCAATTATTACAAGTGTTTAAAGGCTATAATAAAGATTTTTATTAAAATACGTGAAAATATAGTTTTTTTGTCAGTCCGAGATAAATTGAATCAGATGGTATATCTGCAATAGGAGCAACGTAATGAAAATAACAACAACAACCCTTTCATGTCAAATACAAATTTATTCAGGTCTATTAAATAAAAATAATTTAATATATACACAAGTTGCTACGTTAACTTATTTGTAAGATTTTTTGATTTTGTTTTTGCTCTTCTCCCCTCTCTTTTCTTTTTCACTTATCTCTTTTCTATTTCGTATCGCATAATTCATCAATTGCTGATTAATATTTATATATTTATATTTTATTTTAAAATTGAACCTTAGGTTAAACGACTGATTTGAGCCGGAGCATCGTACCCAYGTACGTCACACCCCAGGCGTTGAGTCGAAATTATTCAAGCATTTATTAGGGAAGCCTAACAACATAATATTAAAGAGACTGTGTCTTTAAAAAGTGTTTATTTCTCGCGTTTCGTACAATATGTAGATAGAATAAATAAATAAATTAAATAAATTAGAAGCAGTGAAATATCTATAAATTAGGTTCGTCGGATTTGGTGATGGGATGCTGAATGGGCCGCAACGAGTTTACACCCATCCCAATATGCATGTTCGATTCGGTTTCCGCCTCCGCTGGCAGTCGTGCAAATAGAAACTGGTGTAATCGTGATTGCGTCCACGTACCATACACAGACATACGACCGCACGATCTCCAAAAGGAACTTTTCAGCGGATATCTGATTTGTTTACCGTTCGATTGTGCTCGCTTGTGTGTATGATTTAGCTTTTTTATGTGGTTTGATGTTATTTGATGTGTGATGACAAATATCGTTTCTGTATAAGCGTCAGTTCGTCTGCTCCAACCACTTCCGACTGGCAACCCGACCGTCTTTCTTAACTTTGAGCAGTGTGAGTGATAGCAGGCAGTGGTTGTGGTTGAATTTTTCGCTTTGGGCATCGAACATTTTCCTCAATTAGTTAACATACGCCATGGAGGCACCTTTCCGATCGAAATGCCGTACTCGCACGAAGAGGAATGCAGCGACTAGAGATGCTACTGCTAGCACCAACAACAACATTACTAGGCCACCGACGAAGCTCGGCACTGACATACAAATCGTTTCAGGATCAGCTGATCGTGCCGATTGTATGACTACGGTCTCATTGTTGGAGTTATTGTTGAGCGCAAAGTTGACATCGCCAGGCGCCACCACTTGAATGGTTCGGCTTGTGTTCACGTCGGTCATCTCCTGCGTGTCGCGCTTGTAGATACGCGGTTTCACCACAATATCTATCGTATCACGTCGTCTGCGTACGCCACGCAAATCGTCAAGTCCTTCAACCGAACGAGGACGTCCACCYAGTGACACTAGATTACCACCCTCGATATCGTCTTTACGCTTCACAGTACTATAGAGACCAGGTTGACCAGGTAATGGTGGCGGTGGCATATGCAACTCGTTGGAGCTTTGTGGTGTCGCTTGTGAACTTTGTAACCCAGCCTCGGGTGTGGTGACGCCGGCAGTTTGTGCTTGAGGTGAGGGCACTACATCGGGTTGATTTTCAGAGTAGGCACCGGTGGCATCAGCAGCTTGGTGACGTGGATCTGGATAGGCAGCTGGTGGCAGACCACCCAATTGGTAATCGTTGCGATCATATGGTTCTGGTGCGCCATATTCTGCTGACAGCGCGTTATTGCCAATTTGTGGTACACCGTATTCACCACCTGGCAGTCCAGGTCCACACTTGGGTTCGGGACAGTTATAACGGCAAACTTGTATTACGCACTGGAAGTGTACATTCATAGAGTCGGGGAATTTGAATGCTTGGAAGTAGGCGAAACTGACAACCGACGCTGATGGCCCGAAATTCTTAATCTTCTGGAATTTGCTCATAATCTTTGGACGTACCACACAACCGTTTTGATCGACCAATTGTATGGGTGCACGTTTGCCATCATGAGCTACACAGTTGCGTACCAACATATCGAATTTGTTCTCATCGTCTTTAATAGCCAAAACCATCGTCATAGTCTGACCAATTTTCACAATTCCTGATACTTCAGAAGCCCATGGACCTTTGCCTACTTGAATTTGCATCCAACACTGTAGATTATCGCCGAGGAAATTGGCCGTAACCGCATGCAGCATATCAACTTGGAAYGGGCGGAATGTGACGGCTTTTTCGTAAAAATCGTACCATGTGCAACGCAGTTTTCTGGCYTGATCCCACACCTCTTGCACATAAGGATCATATTGTATGATAATCGTATTCTCCACATAACTACCCGAAGGCGTTGGTGCACCGTAACCGGCCGCATTGTGATTAGCTGAACTGGTCATGCCGCAACTATTGAGGAAGATCTCAAAAGTGGCGCTCAARTGACCAGTACCAGGTTTCAGATGCACACAGTGTGGATCGCTATAGAAGCCCTTCGAAAAGATCATACCATAGAAGGGACGATCGAATTCGATGTTAACACGCATGTGTGTCTTTTCGCATTGCACCTGTAAATGTTTGATTTGCGGACTATCATTGGTAGCGGAGAGTGGCCAGGCTTCGTCGGAGATTTCGTTGCTAACACCRGCGGGTACTGGACCTTGTTGAGCGCCATAGACAGGCGACGGTGCAGGTGGGCCGTAAACGGATCTATGTTCCAATGGTAAGGATGCTGAATCGACGTGTGGTCCCTCGCAGACAACGTCCTAAGTGAAGTAAAAAGAAAATAAATATTAAGTACTGATTACTAGGTTAGTTAAGAGAGGGGAAATGGAAATGAGCAATAATTTATTACTACGTTGGTAGATTTATTTGGAAAATTTGTCAATTGAACGCATGAGCCCTCAAACGTTCGGTTTTAATCGCTACCAGTTTTAGCTCCATCTCGAAAGTGCCATCATGAGATCAAAATTTATCTCTTGAGGATCCAGCGCTWTAATAAACTAACTAAACTGAATTATTCCACAAAAAACAATTGCGAAATTTTTATTATTATTGAAACAATTCTATAACCTGAACAAGGCTTTCCAAAAATCGATTTGAAATTTTGAACACGTCGTTCTCTGCAGCTTATATGATGGAAGCGCCGAWATCGGTCGAACCACTATAGCATATAGCTGCYATACAAACTGAACGATCAAAATGAAGTCCTTGCATGAAAAGCTTTTCTATTGAAAAATATATCATCACAAAATTTGGTGGGACTATTATTCCTCCGGTCATGATAGCTGCTGAGATAGCCAATAGCGCCGGAAAGCAGTAAGCGCATATCCCATTTAGTCAGAGAAAGAACCTGTGTTCATTTTCACGTTGCACGACTACAACATATAGTTGGCCTACAAAGTGATCGACCAAAAGGACGTATTCAAAAAATGAAGTTGATAGATGGAAACTTCKTTATTTGCGATTTTTAGCTCCAGTGCTTTCGAAGACCACGCGTTTTCTTTTTTAATTGATAATTATAAAATATATATTTTTTTTATTTTTTTGGCTTTAGTTGTAAGTCTATTTCAAAATTATAATTTATTAAAGATTAAAAAACTCCTCTTTGATCTCTCTATTTTAATCCTTGCCTCGTTCGTTTGAAAATTACTCTTTTAGTTACTGGGTTCTTGTATAAAGGTATACATTATACAATTTCCTTCTTATATAGTATGATAGTATGCATAGAAAAGCATCAATAAAAGCTTTGAAAGGGGTTTAGCCCCACATATGTAGTGAAAACCAGCCAGCAATAATCGGATGCCGCATATGATGATTAATATTAAATATCCCATAAACAGTATTATATGTATATCTTGCTCTCCGTAGAATTAAAAAATATGTATATATAAATATGTAATTGGATTAACAATTGTTGGCAAGTCTTATAAAAACTACTWCACGCAAGGAATTTACAATGCAAATTGATATGATTAAGCTGTTAACGCAGCGTTTACTGCCGGCATTGCAAAAAAACCGAATTTGATTGTTTCAAAGTTAAATATTCGGAGCGAATACACGTCAACTTTTCGACTAAATCATTATGGTTGCGTCACCATGTGTACTTATGTATATGTGGTTATGTATTTGCTTATGTACATATGTTGAARAAGAGTAATTCATAAATCAAATTTTGCTGACTGTGAAAATGGATATAATTTTTTGATTAAATCACCATAACATCGGAACACATTAAAACACGAATATATGTATGTACACATATGAATATGAATATGTGCATACATATATACATGTTAATACCAAACGCACATATCTCATACTTTTAGCACAGCATTTTGGTGTTACTTTGGGGCAAATTCGCTACACCTCGCTGACGAAAAAGTTACAAAACACCAAAAGAAAACAAAAAGTTATGACTTCAACACAACGTCACATACATTTAGCCCAAACTTTGGGTGCACAAAAGGCGCTGTAATCGCCTTTTTCGGTTGCATAACAACCAACAGCCAACGAAACGAAAAGCTTCAAGCTACACTAATTTTGCTGAGTTGGATTTTAAATACGCCATAAATAAAAACAATTTTAAGTGCATTGGTATGTTTGCATGCTATGTGTGTGTACGCAGCTGCGTTTTGCAGGCTACAGGTATTCTTCCTACCGAGAAAACAGATTAACGGACGCTTGCCAACTTTTTTTTGTGGGTACAACAATCAACAAATTAAAGCGAAAGAGGCGAACACCGACGAAAATAACGCGGTGTAAAAACCCAAAAAGTATTTTTGTCATACAAGTATKTACACATGTACGTACATGTTTACAAAGTACATGCAGCCATGAGTAGATGCAACTGAAAGTAAACATTAGGGTGGGTTTGTGTTTTGAAATGTGAGTATAACAAAATGGTAAAATTTTTGGTATCCACGGTTACTCTAATCTTAATCAGCAATGAAAATATTATATATATTGTATTTCTCATAGCTACCTAGCTAAAATATCCAGCAACAACAATTTTATAAAAATGATGCGTATTTTTTCTAATATTTTTTCACGGCTTTACTAAATTACAAGTTTCAATATTATTTATTTTATATTAAAAAAATTTGAATAAATACGTTTTAACCAAATTTTATAGATACATATTATTAAAGTGTTGCTCTCAGCTACGACCCACCTTAATGCACAAAAGTATTATACAACATTTACTTCAGCCCTTTCTGGCTATCCCGCGTAGAGTTAATGCACAAAAAATACGGTTATGGAGGCGATTCGAAGTGACTGGCGCTGAGACTACAACAACAATACATGCATAAATGTGCAGTTACAAACATATAAGTTCATATTTATGTAGCAAGTCGACTGAGTTGTTGTTCATTGTTGTTTTGACTGTGAAAATTTAAGCCGAACATTTTGTTAGGAAATCGGTTACAATTTTACTGGAATATACGAATGAAGCGGATGTTGTGACTTTTGCATCTTGGCTTAAAGGCACACATACTTACATACGTACGGGCGTTTGGGCACATATACTATATGTATGTGGGCACAAGTGAGTCGCACATAAAATACCTTGTSATTTTGTTGGTATGGGTGCGCATAAATTGTGGCTGGCGTTACAAATTTTCGGTCTTAATGTCGGAATGTTAAAAACGAAAGTTGTTTAGAGCGAAAAAGCGCTTTAAAGATAATTGAAAAAACAAAGCGAAGAAAGATGAAAATTTATGAGAAAAAAAGCCGAAATAATGGAAGCTGCGAGTTCAGTTGTGCTTCGGTATGAATTTCGAAAGTCAAATTCGACAGAACTCGTTACATAAGCAAACGAATCCAATACACACGTGAGTATATACATATGCATGAAAGTGCACCTAATTTGCGTAAATGGAATGTATTATTGGAACCAAAATGATGGTCACTTTAATCATCGAAAATTTTTGTAGGCTTTCGAAAAAATTTTACATGCGGATAAGAGGTTGGAAGTTTGAATAAGACTCTTTAATTCATATCGGTGTGGACGTCTGAAGGAAATATTTGAAATGGTAAGATGCACTTTGAAATAATAGCAATTACGTTTAAATCTACTAAGGCACTTTTTACAGCCGCAATGAGGAGCAAGTTCATTGCTATTATCATGAATAGCATATATTAACCTTAGACGGCATCGTTTATCGTATTTTGCTGATGCTTGCAAAACACGTTCCTTAGTTGTGTAAGGAAAACTTTTTTTATTTGTCAATATATGTATCTTTCAAAACTTGACATGGAATATTCTCCAAGGCAATGGTACAATTTTCGAACAAAAGATCGAAATCGAAATTTCGCTACCGTTATAAACTTTCTTATAAAAAAAATCTTTTAATTTGCGAAGACTCTTGTAGAACGTAAGTGCAGAGGCGCAGATACTAACCATAATGCATCGCGCCAAATAACTGATCGGGCTCTAATACCATTATAAATCAATGCACATTGTAAAAGAAAACAGAAATTTTCTTAAATTTCTGAATTTCTGAATTTCCGCTTGCGTGCCTAAATTGTAATTAGCAAATTGGGAATAAAAACAGATACATATGAAGATGCTTGCACATATACGCTCGTGTATGTACAACAAAATCGCTAGCTAAGCAATACTGAAAGAGTCTGAGCTTGGCTTGTGATTAATAAAGCGCGAAAAATATCTGCAGAAGAAAGTCAAAACTTGTAAAAATTAGAGCATAACTGCGCTGTGGCGCTAAGCAACTCAACGAATCAACGAATGGCAAAACCGGCAAGTGATGTATACGAATTCCCACATGTCTTTGTCTGCACATACAAAATGGTATTGTGTGTATGAATACATTTGAAGCATGAAAAATAAAATAAGTTTTATTTTATAAAAAAATAAACAAAATAAAATAAAATAAAATAAATAAATATTATATGAGTGTAAATGTAAACTTGTGTGTTACCAATTAGAATAATAATTGCTTACAAAGCGATTTTCGTGTCTACTGAATTACAGATGAGCTTTTTGCATATTTATGGATTGAGCAGCTATTACTTTAATCTTCTTTATTCATTACTGCTTATTTGCATACGAGCATGCACGCACACACGAATGTATATGATAATATATCTCAGAACAATCTCATTCTGCAGCTTCTAACATTTGCCGTTATTCGTGGCTATTTGACGGCGTTCAAACATGTAGAAAAACGAACTTATTTCCATTCGAACATTATGAAACACGGCTTACTTGCTTATATATATGTACAAATGTGCATCTTCGTATCGGCCATAAGCAACAATCTCTGGTTGCCACTACAGTGTACCTTACCCTAATGTATGTACATACATAGGTAGTTAAGTGTGTAATACTGCATTTCTGCATACACAGAAGATTGGTTGATTGAAAAGCTGAATAAAGCTGATGACCTCTAGTGACCAAGCAAATAAGTTTGACACGACGGACCGAATTTCAACATCTGTTGTTGTTGTTATTGTTGTTGCAGCGGCAGAAAAAGTCCTGAASTAATTTCGAGGCATGGTATCAGGTTGACAGTTCTTGGCCGGATAAAAATCCAAGTTCGTTCCGGTTACTTAGCCCGACTGTCGTGGGAACCGTCTCATCTCAATATCTTTAATGGATCGACTCAACATATTTTTGGCATTGGGTCTCAATATCTCCTATGGAAGTTTGTCATTGCTAGACTCGTGCCAAAATACCTGAATCTTTTACATAAGTGAATGGTGGTGTCAAAAGAGATGCTTGACAACGTAGCTAAGTGCCTTACATTCATCAAACATAAATTTAATGGAGACGAGAAGTGAGTTTATGAATATGACGTCGAAACTGTCCAACAATCTAGCAAATGGCGCTCCAAAAATTAATCGAAACCGAATGCACAAAAATTCTGTGAAGTTACATCGGTCCGAGTATTTTGGCACATTGTGCTTCGATGGAGAAAGATAAAGTAGATGGGCATTGCCAGCCACCTTCTTTTCTCCTGTTTTTTATTGCGCTAGCAGCTCATAGCAAGAAATAAATCCCATATTGAACTTATAAAGCCTATTAACTGTTTTTGGGGGCATTAGATTGTGAGGATTGTTAATTTTTTGTTCCAACTTCAAATGTTTCCACTGAATTGTCATCGGTAGATGTGTTAAGAAATATTATACTCACCTTAGCTATGAACACTAAACAGAATAAAGTTGCGAGCACAGAAGGCCGCAATTGTCGCCCCATTTTGTTGATTTTACTGTGTTTTGGTTTTGTTGAGATTTATTATAATTTTTATGTGTAATTGTAGGCTTTGTTCAAATTTTAGCTGCACTTCTCCGACATGCACATATACCCGACAGCGTGGCGGAAGGAAACCACCGCACCGTTTAAGGAGTTAACTGAAATGAGAAATAAGAAAATAATGCTTATAATAAATTTAAATTTTAAATAAAAATTATTAAAATTTTAATGAAGAGAAAAGTAAGCTACTAAACTATAGATAAAGATGATCCAGAAATAAGTTTTGACATTATTACATATATATTTTTTTTCTAATATGAGCAAAATTTTAATATTTTTTATTAATCAAAAAAAGTTGCAACTAGGGAAAAAACGACTGGAAATCTCACAGTGATTAGATAATATTTAAAAAAGAGGCTTTTTAAATAAAAACAGATCAGATTCAAAATTTCAAAAAGTGTTATATGCAGCAAAAGGTAGAAAGAAAAGTAGATGCAATAAAAATATATTTTCTATTAGATTTAGAACAGTTTAAGTTTCCAAAATAATAACTCAGCTGCTAAAGCCGCATTTTCGAATTTTTCGATAAGATTCCCCCATTTACACTTCAACCAAAAATACATGCATCTTCAAATATTTGAAAATAATATTTTTTCATATATTCGTAAATACCATATATCCAGCTAAATTTTTGTATGCATTTATATATATGTATGTACATATGCATATCATATATATAAAATATGTAATCAATTGCGAATAATATTTTCCTTAGCTGAAATCWCGTTTTGCGGTTTGGCATTCACATTGTGAATACGTTGAAAAATTTACCGTTGCACAAATCAAATGCGCGTTGTAGCGACAAAGTGAGAGCACTATGGACCACTTTCTATTTTCACTACAAAAACAATACAATGTACGTGTATGTATGAATAAGTATGCAGCGTATTCTACGGCCTTCGACTAACTGAATGGTAGACGACTTAAGCTAAATGCAACAAACAAAACACGAACTGAGCAATTTAGTTTGTAGGCAATTGATAATACAAACAAGCCAGTTGCTGGCACAGCATACATACATACACATTCGCATACATGCATGCGCGTGAAGGCAAGAGTGTCTGTGAATTGATGCTGAGATAAGGTCTCAACAATGTAACACTCACAACAACAAAAGAAAAAAGTTAGCCACTGGCTTAGGGTAAACATTAACGCCAACGCGAATGTCAAGAAGAGCTTGAATGAATGAGCTTACACATCAAGTTGCATAGCTGACGCATTAATGAACGTTGACTTGTTGTGGGTATGCGTAGGTCACTATAAGCCCTATGCGTGTGTTTATAGATGTGCACAAAAATTTATACACAAAGATTAAGTTAATTATGAACCAAGAAGCTTGTTTTTGTCATCAAGATCGAACTTATGTCTTATCACCCTAAATGTAGGCAACAACTTTTRGCAAATTATCTAATTTTTCAAAAATAGAAATTTTGCCGATCTTGTTAGGCGCTGTTGTAGTTGTGATTTGTTATTTTTAGTTTTCAATTTCCTCTCTGATGGGAACTGTTAATTAAACGTWGCCCTCAGCTATTTTAGATTGTGTTTAAAAACAAGTAGCGACTATAATTATCTGTTTTTCTTTAATGTCGTCTTGATTAACGCAAGAAAGACATTTTCTGACCACTGCTGAAGTCTCAACACCTTTTATCATATTTTTGYTATATTCTCGGAAAAACTTTCTTGAATGATCACTTTATAACTTCTGATCAAATATATATTAAACTGCGCGCACAAACCGARTCGTTAAAAAACTTTCCGTTATGTATGTATAATACATATCTTAAATAGATGGGCACAACCTTTTTTTTTATTTTGATCGTGAGAAGTTTGATCTTCATATGTCAATTTTTGTATCTTTGTTTCTATTAGCTTTCTATTGACTGAAAAGGAGCCTATTTTTAAGACRATATTAAAGAACTGTATTGCAAATACTTTTTGATAAGTCCGGGTCACATTGGAGCAAAAAGAAAAAGTTCTAGTTAAAAATTAGCTTAGTCTTTGATTTTGGCATAAAATGTCTCATTATTCTTGCATATTGAATCGCTGAAACAATATTTAATTTTAAAAGATAAAAGATCTAAGCAAATCGCTTTCCTTTAATTAAATTTCGACGTCAAAACATTCAAATTAGCTACACTGTACAACAGAAAATAAAGATTTTGTTTGAAAAAAAATTTAAATAAAGAATTTAATATTGTTTATTATTTCTATTACAAACAACACACAAACTCACTTTTAGGAATCAGTATATATTTGTATATATTTTAGTAATTATAATTGTATTGTTTTCACTTCACATTTGCGTATTGTGCGACATTTACTTATTAAAATATCAAGCGGTATTTTCTTGTTTTTGACAACACGTGACACAGAGCAATCAAATCTAATCAAATCTACATTTTATTGTATATTACAGTTGTGTGTGTGCACAAATAATGGCAATGCATCCGCTAAGCGCGTGCAACATGCCACGACAACGACGACACAATGCTAACAGTCACGGAATGACTAACTGGATACGCACAGTTAGTTACGGCTACAGGCTGCAACTCTACCCACTGACCGACCGACCGACCGACCGACCGATCCGATGCGGTATTGAACTGGCGATGCTGCGTACGCGAGCAAAATAAAACACGAAGAAAATTCAATAAATCTGTAGCAAATGCACATGTGCAACTGAAGGCGCTTAAATAGACATGAGTATATACAAAGMTGCGTTAATATATGCATGTAAATATAAAGACACAGGAAAAAGCGCAGTAAGACACCAAAGAAGATGCATGTAAATAGAAAAACAAAAATAATAATAAATGAAATTCATAAAAGAAGCATATGCCACAAAGCTTACTTGGCCCCGAGCCACATATATGTAGCACTCTTATACGCAACGACACACATACATACCGTTAATGATAGGTAGCCATGTATTCAAATATGCATGTCTGAGTATGTGTGTGCAACTGAATTTATTTAAATATAATTTTTTATATTATAGTGTACATGTGTGTGTTTGTTGTGCATGCTGAGGCATGCTGAGTGAGAGGAATGTCACTTTCCACTTGCGAAAATCGGTGAGATGCGACGCATCTGCTTTGGCCAACCAGCTAGCCAGCCGGTTGCAGATTCATCGCGCCGCTAGTGGGTAGCCTATATGTGTCGTACATGGCGTATGGGTAATGTTGTGCCAACCTGTTTTGTAAATGTGTGTATTAGACGCTCATACATACATATATGCATGCTATTGTCAACAAAATAAATAAAGAAAGTCGAAAAAATGTAAAAAGCAAACTATGAGCGAATTCAAACACATACACACAAATTATATATATATATATATCTATATTCAAACATAACTGCTTTCGGCTGGCGCACTTTTAGTGTAATTTTTGTTTTAATTTTATGTGCTTTATGATTTTGCTTCTTACAAACTTTTAGCAACGAAAGCTGTTGTTTATTCATTCACCTTTTGTTTGTTCATTTGAAAGGAAATTTAATTACCGSGACTATTTGGTGGTCAGCCGGCGCACATGTGTTTATGTTGAAATAGTTTTGTAGCAACAATGACCGACCGGCATGTAGATAATACGCCAAGAGGCATGCGCAGTGAGTTATGTGTCATTATGTTTATTATGCGGTTGTATGCCTTGCAACATAAAAGTTTAATGTCACCATTAAAACCAGACGCTAACTATTTTTAGAATAATGAAGGAGAATTATAAAAATGAAGTGGTAGCACAGTGCGAAGGAAAAATATGGGATCAAGTACTCACTCGTCATAGATTTTAGGAAAATTGGTTTATTTTCTCCAACAAATATTATTTTTTTTTTATAATTATAAGCTCGTTTAATTAATAGGGAATCGTTTGTACCAATATTTTCGGGTTACAGTGTACTACAAAAACCACTAATATAGTGCTGGAAGATCGTTGTGTCAGCGAGATAACTGAGGATCCCAATATCTCATGTTGATCGACTCAATACAGTTTGATTAATATTTTGGTGTATTTAATTAAATTAATGTATTACATGGCTTGCTCGGGTATAAAACAGCCTTTTTTCAACAATTTTATAAAAAGTGTTTTATACAAAAAGTTAAATATATTATTAGAATTTTTTAATGTCACAAACATACACTATTAACAAAGAAATTCTGAAATTTGAAGAGAAAAATATCTGAACTCAGCCATTGCGACGTCATTTCCTACGATCCCTCGAAAAAAAGATGCGCCCGTGTTGGCAGGATAACTGATTACAGAATCATTTAAAGCGAGAAATTTTTACTTAAACCCTTAACTTAGAACTTGGACGAAGGTATAAAAAATACTGAAAATTGGATTTTTACAAAAAATTCAGTGAAAATTTCGCCATCTTTTTTTCACATAGTTGTAATCGAAAAAAAAATCCTTTGCCAAAGTCTTTAAGAATTGTATCTCAAAGACCTTTGCAAAATTTCAGGAAGATCAGTTGCGAAGTTCTCTAAAAATCTTGCGAACCGAATTCAAAAACAATTTCGAGGAAAACGSGGTAAAAGACGCCGCACTTAGCCTAGCTAGCCTCGAGCGCACAAGTTCCCAAGATTGTATCTCCGAAACTATTTCTCGGATCAAATWGAAAATTTAGRACAAYATTCCAGAGGTGCTGTAGAATTTAATAAGACAATATAAAATAAATTGATTTTTTGAAACCCGTAAACCCATGTAACCCCTTGAGCGTTGTCTTTCTTTTATTAGCTTAGTAGCTCATTTCGAAGCCATAATAAAGTTTTTTATTAAATTACGTAAAAATGTAAAAAATATCAGTACGGGTCAAATTTAAGTAGATGGAATAAAGCACTGTTTACCGACAGAAGGCTCTTCTTTAAATCTACCACGGCTTTCAACTTTGAKTGAAATATATTTCGCTCTGGTCAATTAAATATTATTATAGAATAGGAGTGATACTCAATAAACAATCTAGAATTGGCAACATTTTACTTTTAAAATCTGCTTAACGGACCGTATTATAAATATGAAAATGTAGGCGCTTCAATTGAATTACAATAAAGTGATTTTTAAAATAGTCAAACTTAACCCCTTCTTGGTTACAAAAAATCGTACAGATAATGCTATGAAAAGTTTTTTCGTATGTAAAATTACTCGAAGAGTGAGAAAAAAATTAACAAAATCCGGKTAATGTACTCTTACAAGCAGACAATGTCACTCTACATTTACGCTGAAACATATCTACTTTATGTTCATACATACATACATACATATGTACATACATTTAGTAAATCATGTGAATACTCATAACCAGTTCCTTAGGGGCGACATCTTCAAATGATAACCAAATACCACATGCATACTGACAAGTATACACACACATACATTTATCCACGCTTGATGAGGCCACTGAGACACCAGCTGTTGACGCTGTTGAGCAACTGTGCTATTAACCTACTGAAATGGTAAACAGTACAAGCTAGCCGACGAACGCGACAAGTMATGTGACTGACTGACCACATTGCGGCTGGCGTATGTGCCTTTGAAGACTTGGTGTGATGATTGCAAAGCTTGTAATGAGTGTAATTATGCTCAACATTGTGGACAGCACTTCGTTTTTTCGATAGTTACACCTTTATGATGAGCTATACTGCTAATTTTCACTGATGTATATTCTTGAAGTAACTTATGAGGGCGCATGAAAAAATTTAGTTCATTTAAATGTCACTTTTTGTCYGAAACGTATTGAGGTTTTGAAGTAGTATATAGTATATAATATAAATACATTTTTTTATAAAAACTTTGTGCGAGTTAATATTTGTTATTCCATATTTTAGATGAAATACTATCAGCTTTGAGTTCCTTAATTGTGCCTTAAATTCATTTTGTCATTTCTTTAATTAAATAGAGATCGAAAGCAAACTTTAAAAATGTTTTAACTAAACTAGAATAGGTTGCTATCAGCTTAGAGGATTGCCGTCAGCTAAGCTGAATACTAAGTGATTTTCTGAGGTAATTCAAAAACAACGTACGTTCTCATCACATAAGATCACAAAATTTCCTCTAGCATTTTTATAAAACAGCAATACATCAAATAAACTAATTTAACTAATTATTATATTTTTATAACTTTTATATTTATTTTATCTCKATTTGAAATATATCAAGGTATCTCATCGCATGATAGCAGCTTTTAGTCTGACATGATCCCTCAACCTAACCTTTTACTCTAACATTTGAACATCCATTCAAATAAATAAAATTTTGACAAATTATTTTTTTTTATAGTTCCAGCTGATACATTATTTTATATTTGTATGCATTAACATACTATTTTCGCTAAGCCACTAACTAGCAGCTACCACACAATCTGTCRGATGTGGCACTTAAGCACGGCTAATAAGCAAAGAAATGGCTGAAAAGCTCTCTCGACATCTCCATAAAGCATACACTCRCTCCTTGACGCTGATCCAAGTTTACAAGCCGTCAAAGCGCCATAATCTCATGCCTTGAAAAGAGTGAGCATAAAACATAACTGTATTTTAAACAGACTTGCACTCATCTGCTTTGCACTGCGCTTGGATTTTAAGATAGAGAGCCGCCGATTGTTGAGTTGGTTGRCTCTCACGATTACAATTTGATGATAACATTAGCAAATATTGCGCGCTGCCTCCATGCCATTTGGTTGTATCTCTATGAGTGTATGTGTGTACTCGTAACGGCCACATTTGTGCCGTTATATTTATTATTTTACATTTTGTTTTTCACTATTCTTCATCGCTTTTGCGTTTACACCACGCTGCTGCTGCTTTTTATTTACTGTTTACCTTTCTCATTTTTCAACAATTGTTTTTTATTCTTTCACATTTACAGCATTTTTTTGTAGATTTAGACGTCGATCGTGTGGTTGTTGTTATAGTTTGTGTGTGGTTTTTTCTCGCGGCATGTTTTTAAGTTTTATTTGCTTGTTTGTCGTAAGTGAAAGTTGTTCGAAACGGTTGAAGGCAGAGTTGCCGAAGTAGTAGCGCTGTTGTGAAAAAACATATGAAAATGTGAATGTGTATGTGCCGCGGAAATGTTGGTTATTGCGTGAGTGTGTATCTTAATTTGCGTGCAGATAAGGTTATCTGTAGGTTTTATATCCAACGCGCATCTCTTTAATTATGGCAATTTCGGTGCAGCAATATTCCATAGACACTCTCCGCTGTATGTGAGAATCTTCCTCTGTGCTTTGCATAGTAATTAGTGGCTGCATTTGTCGGAACGTACGAATGTGGTTTGTATGTAGCTTTACACCTGCGCACTTTTTATTGGTTTWGCGCATGCGTGTGACTGAGAAGATACGTGCTTTTGGGATATTCGGTTGTTGATGTTCTAAATTGTTTAGACAGATAGGTATTTCACGTACAAGCACTTAGCTTTTTGTTTAGTTTGGCTTTTTCTGGAAATTTCACTTTTACTCATTTCTCTATGTGCTTAATAATCCTCTATTTGAAGGTCAAACATAGGTATGCATG